CCTCTCCCACTCCCCCTGCTTGTGTTCCCTCCCTCGCTGTGTCTCTCTCTCTGTCAAATAAATAAAAAAATCTTTAAAAAAAATAAATAAAAAGTATTAGAGATGTTACTACTAGTCAGTAGACAACAACCAAATGGATTGATAATCTTGGAAAAATATTTCTTGAGTATTATATGCTTTTTGAAGTTAGGATTAATTCTTTTGATATAATTGATGTGAGTTGTTGGGAACTCCCATCGTTTTTGCAAAAATACAGCTCAGAAATTGTAATGCTGGTAGAGTTTCTACTATGACTTGATAATAAATACAATAATTTTGCCTATAACTTTTTTTTTTAAAGATTTTATTTATTTAAGAGAGAGAGCATGGGAGAGAGCACATGAGCAGGGGGAGGGGCAGAGGGAGAAGCAGGCACCCTGCTGAGCAAGGAGCCGGATGCAGGGCTCTATCCCAGGACTTCAGGATCATGACCTGAGCTAAAGGCAGCCGCTTAACCAACTGAGCCACACGGGCGCCCCTGCCTATAACTTCTTAATATTCATCTAACAATATAAAGGTCAACATGGTATTACAAGGAATTGACTTGAAGATAGGAAATGTGTCCCTTTAATGTAAAATCTTATATAATTGTTAGCTAATTGAATTTAAATAAAAAAAATAAAATCTTATATAATAGTAAATAATACAATTAGAGAATGATACATTCAATGCTTTGCTATAAGAATAAAATCCAAAGAAACTTACCTTTAATGGTGCAATAGTGTTAGAATAAAATGGAAGTAGTATGTAAAATCCTGAATGGAATAGTTATTATACTTAATACATTGAAAATTATAGGTACTTGACATAATCTTATTGGAAACCAAAAATAATATGTTATAGGACTAAAAATTGTTATGTGCTTGGTTAGAATATACAAACCAAACAAACCCTAAAAGATTTACCAAGAAAGTTAAAAAAAAAAAAAAAAGGCAATTATAGAGAAAAGGTACTTTTCCAAAAACCAGTACAATGTTCTAGTTGGAAGAACTGGTATACTTGCTAAGTAGGGCAGATAGATGGTCAGGTATAATTTCAAAACCCTCAAATAATTCTAAGATTATTTTGTATAATATTCAAAACACGGCAGTAAATGTTTTTTTAAAAATCAAGGAAAAATGATCACAGTTAAAAGGAACAGTATTCAACAAAAAGGATAGAAAGAGAAGAGTGAATAATTTATATTTGTCTTTACTAACAGAGGCCATGTGAAAATTCTCATTCTCAAGCTGTCTTTCAAAGCAAACAGCAAATCCAAAAGTAAATACACAGGATATTTTAGATACAATTGAAAAATTATATATACTTAAATCACCAAATTGGTTGGAATTCATTCTTGATTAAACCCAATGGAGATAAATTACTGAAGCCAAATGAGTTTTACTTGAACTTTGAAGGGCACAGCAGTGAATGTGGTACGTACTGGTCAGAATGCTCACTACTCCAAACCTATATCAACATGCAGAAAACAAAAGGGAGGGACCGATAGGCACTTCTTAGGATGGAGAAACAAATTGCTAACAAGTTGGACACCTGGGAATATGTATTGAGAGTCTTTTAGTTGCTATTTTTGTAAGTGCTCTAGATAAAGAAAGGAAAGAAACCTCTCAGGTTTGCAGTAAATGTTAACCCCATTTTAAGTACTGAAATGCTAAGCTCTTGAACATAAATGGCAAGATGTCTCAAAGTTTGCTGAATGAGCAGTTGAGCTTTTTGTGGGTCAAACATTAACCCCAATACTTAGTTATAGATAAGTATTAATTATGACCCAGAGGACAAATCTAGTAGTTCCTGTTTGTTTCCTGATGACGTTGGTCTCTAAAGGACAATTGTATGCCACTGGGAAGGGGATGGTGGAAATAACAGAGACCATCTCTCCAGTTGTATGAAACTGTTCTTCACCTCCTCCAAGAATATTCTAAAATTTTAATTGTCATTTAAGAAAGAATTGGAGGGGCGCCTGGGTGGCTCAGTCGTTAAGCGTCTGCCTTCGGCTCAGGTCATGATCCCAGGGTCCTGGGATCGAGCCCCGAATTGGGCTCCCTGAGCAGCGGGAGGCCTGCTTCTCCCTCTCCCACTCCCCCTGCTTGTGTTCCCTCTCTCACTGTGTCTCTCTCTGTCAAAGAAATGAATAAAAATTAAAAAAAAAAAAAAAAGAAAAAAAAGAAAGAGTTGGAGAATATCCAGAGTGAGATAACCAGAATGATCAAGGGGACGTGGGGATTATACGAGCTAGGTATAGCAGAATAAAAAGTTGGAACTCTTAGGTTTGAAAGATGAAGGCTTAGAAAGAAGATTTATTTTTTATTTTTATTTATTTTTTAAAAAGATTTTATTTATTCATTTTAGAGATAGAGAGTGTGTGGGTGGGGAGCAGCAGGTAGAGGGAGAGGGACAAGCAGACTCCACCCTGAGTACAGAGCCCGAATTGGGGCTTGAGCCCCCATCCCTGAGATCATGACCTAAGCCAAAATCAAGAGTCGGACCCTTAACTGACTGAGCCACCCAAGCGCCCCAGAAAGAGATTTTTTTTAAAGTGTGAAAATCTACAAAGGGCACTAGATGTTTAGTTCTGAGGGGGGTGTGTGTGTGTGATTTAAATATAAGAAAATACAACATTACATAGCAACAGTAAAGCTTATGAACCTTGGTATCAAAAAAGGTGGAAGAAGTAGAGTCCAATTCAACTTGGCCTGAGGCAGGTGTACAAAATTTTGAGTATATTCCCAAGCTTCTGATCTTAGGAACCCTTTGGGAAAAAAACCAACTTATCCTCGCACTTGCCCAGTGTCCCCACAGCACCTTTCACTGGTGGGTAGGCACAGAGTATTTGCTGAAAAAGGCCCAGTTGTCTTGAAATCTGTCATTTATTATCATCTTTTAAAAGTATTGTACAACCGGGCGCCTGGGTGGCTCAGTTGGTTAAGCGACTGCCTTCGCCACAGGTCATGATCCTGGAGTCCC